AATATTGCACTTGCAATTGTCCAGTTATACTGAATATTGGCACGGCTGTGATATTCAGTATAACCGCACTCTTGCTCATGTGATATTGCTTACTTAGAACATTATTACTATCTCGGAATATTAGAACTATCTTTGTTTCTGTAAGGAATAAAACTATTAGAGATGTCCTGTTATAGGAAAATAATTATTGATGGAGTGTGAAGTGTTCCTGTTACCACCCAGAAATTGCTTCCTATAATACCACAACCCAAAGTGTTTTATTTCTCTTATACCAGAGCAATTTGCCAGCAATTACAATTGTTTATTTATTAATGTACACGCCATGCTTTTAACCATTTATAGTTACTTTTAATGTTGTTGACCATCCACAAAACAAGTTAGTTCCTGTGATCACTTTTGTTATATCAGCAATAAGCAGTCGTTCTTTCACCGGTCTCTTTTTTTCTTTCTTTTGGAGTTGATAAGACAAAAAAATTTCCGGAAATTGCAAAGTCCCCCGACATGAAGACTCTTCCATGGTTACACGGTTACCTAAAAAAAAAAAAAAATATATATATATATATATATATATAAATGTGTGTGACATCGCCATCATTGATGCATAAGTGTTTACTAAATATCACTCTTCTTTTTGCATCTGGCAGAGAGAAATTCTCCTACGTTTGAGTGGCACTGGGCTTGAGCTGTGACTGATTTAACTCTAATCCTTCATTTCTCTGGTTCTCCTTCTGCCTCTTAACATTCTTCCATGGCAATGATTAAACATACCCACATCTGTCAGCACAATCTGTTTGTTCTTTCTCAGTATAGGGAATAGAGGCTCATTTTCGGATCATATTTTTTTAAAAGAGAGAAATATAATCATATTATGGTAAGTGACGGTCTCACACAGCCTCAGAAAGGATGAAAAAAGGAATAAAATAATGATTTAATTCTCCCTTCAAATGAGCAGGCTATTAACAAAGGTATCATATAATCAGCAGTGTGACAGTGGATATTAATAAAAGTTTTTTTTTTCTTTAAAGCCATCGTAGGCTCACAAATGTTAATGCATTTTGCTGGGCAGGGTAATATTACCGACACTTCATGGATCATTAGACATGAAAGCACATAATGTTTCTAACCTTAAGCCATGCAATATTGCAATATTTCATGGGAGAGGATTCATTTTAATGATGCAAAACTGGAGGCTGTGGGCGAAGATGACTAAATTGAACTTTGCTTCTCTGAAGGTATGGGATAATATACTGCATTATTAGACTTATGGACTTGTCATGACACATGGTAGTTAAGGTCCTTTTCAAGGGCAGTTTAAGGCCTATCACTATTATTATTATTATTATTATTAGTAGTAGTAGTAGTAGTAGTAGTCGTAGATAGTACTGGGTTCACCCTGGGTCAATTCTGGAGCAGAATTAACACATAATCTTTGTCTATTCTACTTGTTGTGTCCTCAATTTCTTTTGCTAATGTTGTTTTTCTCTCTTTCCCCCCCAATCATGTACTCATTAGAAAGGCTTTGTGAATCAATAGATTTAGGGATTGCCTATATTGGGTGGTACATGAGTCCTTAAGTCTACTGCCTCCAGACTACCAGCTACCATCAAAATCTCACAAAATGCTGTGGAGGTAAAAGGCCTGCTCCAATATGCTGACAAAGCGATGTACAAAAACAGCCTCTTGACACCCAGTGTTATGAAGTGTGTATTAAGGAAAGATCACCACATAAGAGGGGAATGATTTCTGATGACAATAAAATATTTGAGTTGGTCCCTGTGTGTTACATTTCCCCCCCAAAACACTTTTCACTTTGTCAAAGGAAAGGAATACACTACTGTGTCCAATTGACCACTGGATGGTGGACCGGGTTTTATATGAACACCAGTAAAATCAGAAAAAGAGGGATATAGAAGGATATAAAAGGACAGAACTGAAACACACACTCTTAGGGAACGTGAAAGGTCACATCTACAACTCCATAGGGGTTCTTTGGTCTGACCCATGAAAGAACTACCGTACACTAGAGTGCTCCAAACAGTACTCGATTATAAAGCTGTGAACACATAACTGTCCAAAGGCAACTTCAAGTACTAATTATTCGTGAAGCAGGGAACATGTTAGCAATCTTAGATTTTTATAATGCTTTTATTAAAAACGTCCTGAATAAAGCACTGAATAATGGCGTTCAGGCTTAGTGCATAACAGAATAATATTAGAATAAAATTATGGTATTGGAGAGGAGGCTTCTTCTAGTTTGGGAATTATAATAACATGTTATTCATTAAATTAACGCTTATTGTTAATAATCTTTATTAGTCCCATGTAAATGTAAATCTCTTCCGCAAAGGAGACCTGGCTAAAAGGTAGTAATACACTGTAAAGAATTTCTGTAACTCCTACAATAAAATGCTGTGTTCAAACCAATTTAATACTTCAATACTGTGTTTTAGTGTTCAGTGCAGCTTGTTTGGCATTCTGGGAAAATATTTACTGATTACACTCTATCAAAGAACCTTATATACGTAGCCACAGTGATACTGTGGTGGCTGTAATGTAATACCACAATAAAACATGCAGTACCAATAACTTTACTATAAATCTAGGCACCAAAAGCATTTACCTGAAACAGCAAAGGAACCACATCTGGCTAGATTTTACATATTTCACTTTGTCCCCACATTATTTTGTCATCCTACGTTTTGCACAACTTCAGTTATTTTAGCACAACAGGACAAATCCAAATGGTTTAAAGCTAGGTCGTGTAAACCTAGCTAGGTAATCCTACCCTGATATTTTAAATAAACTCATATAACTTCCTACTTCTTGTTTTTTCCATGTGGTATTCGGGACTTTGACCCATTGATTATGTCACATTTCTTATTACTCTCATTCATTTGAACAGTTTTCTTATTGTGCAATTTGAATGTGATTTTGTTGTGAACTGAATGAAATGATTGTGTAATGTATAGAAGTGGGATGCAGGAGGTGTTTTATTAAAGGCAACCCATTAAACATTGTCAGAAATCTAAGTAGAGGTCAAGGCACAGGCAGACAACGGCAGACAACTAGAATGATCCATAATTGTAAGATGGAGAAAACAGGTAAGGGTTAATCCTCGGAAATGCTATACATGGACCAAAAACTCAAATACGGAATAAGGAATTATGACTTAATGACATGAATGCACAGTAAGACATTGTGTAGAGACAAAGGTACACAACAACAGGGTATACTGTACATAGACAAACTAATCAGTGAGCTAACACAGAACAGTGGACACAGTAGAATAATACGCCAACGACTGGACAGGGGTTGTTTAAACTTGAGCAAATTTGTGATATTGACCATGTTGATTTTCCATGAGTCTTATCCCTTCCGTTGATGACATTCCATTGGCTTTGATCTAATATGGATCCTCAGGTTTTACACAAACTTGTGAAGTCCATGTCAGCTCGAGTGCACACTGTCGTTAAAACAAAAAAAGGGACATACCAAATACAAGGAAATTCTGTCATTCATGTAAATATTTCTAAGATTCTACTCAGCCCGAGTTATTGCTGATAATATAATTTGTAATGAAAAATGTAAGTATTATTTACAGTAACTACTTGACTGTCATTTCTATCAAAACATGTACAGTTCACTGATTCAAATCCCATAGACTTTACACTGATTTCAAATTCATTAAGCACAACACAGTCAGAACGTCTCTAGGTCATTCCAAATTCTTCCTAAAGCAGAGTCTTCATAAAATCGCTTTGCAAATAACAGTATAAACCAATGACTAAGCCGTTGAGTGGAAAGAACAGGCCAATTAACTTTGCAGTACAAAATGCAAGGATGAGAGGAAGACTCTTCAATTTGTAATGGACCTTAAACTAAAGTTTAATGCTCTGTGACACACTGAATTAACTAATATAGTGTATGAACAAGTTGATGCATTCACATTAAAAAAAAAAGCTCAATGTAATCAAGAAAAAAAAGGCAAAAATGTAGCCGCTATTAGTGTATGAAAAATTTTAAATTTTAACTAACATGTGTTTGCAAAGCACACTGCTGCTGTCACTTACTGTATCCTGTTAAATAATAATTAATGAAGCAGTTAATGAAAGTGTCACAGGTTCCTTTTCCTTCTCAGTTCCTCCGCCTCTTCTGTATTGGCACTGTAATTATTGTCTTAACATTCCAGGCGGACTATTTTTACCTCACAATAATTCCATGGGGTATTTTCACTTTCATAATTTCACTTAAATGTCAAAGTCTGCCGAATTCATCTGGCGCTCACACAAGCTATGTTGAGTAAAACTCTAAAGGCTTTTCTGAGTGTCAGTTTGACATCACCTTGTGTCCCTTTTAGACGCCTGAAATGACACCAGTGTACCATGATGAAGGACATTATGCAAATGCTAAATTCCCATAACCGAAGCATGTCATTGTTGAGTGTCATTGCCGCGGAAGTGTTCGTTATTACTCATGAATCCAAATGAGTCGTCCGTATCACTGCTTGAATGATCAAATTATGGATATCTTGTGGATATTTAATCTATCCTCAATGAAATCTTAAGTTGAAAGAGTATTCTTTACTTTGTCCTTGCCAGGGAGCAACCTTATTTCCTCTCATAACTCAAGCTTTCTTTGCATACAATAACAGAGTACAGTAGAAGGACAGGAATCTTATAACCTCCTCATCTCTGACATTTATTTGGTCACAATGCAGAAATTTGAACCAGTGACCTTGCAGTTATAGGTCTGAGGTTCCACTGACATCAGGTTGGTGAAATGTTATTAAAACACAGCGCTAATGAATGCAAAATTCTGATTGCGCAGAGGGTGTTGCCGAATTTTCCAGTGCGTTGTTCCATAACGTTGTTGTTCCTCTTTCAGGATCATTGTCTGCATATTTTATTGGGCACAGTTTTTACACTGGATGCCCTTCCTGACGCAACCCTCCCCAATTTTATCCGGGCTTGGGACCTGCACTAAGAGCGCACTGTTATTGGTTCCCTGGCCGGGAATCAAACCTGGGCCACAGTGGCTAGTGCACTGTGGCCTAACCACTAGTCCTCCAGGGACCCAATCTATGGCTAATAATAACCAAATTAAAAAACATGTTGTGATTAAGCTATGAAAAACATCTACTTGTTGATATGATGAAGCTTTCTGTAAGGAGTCCCAGATGCCAGCTCTTTGTAGCAGTCAGTAATGTTTTTGCCACAGCAAAGTCTTCAGGATGGAGGACCGAGTTTCTCGCCATAGGAAAGTCTTCAGGACGGAGGACCGAGTTTCTCACCACAGGAAAGTCTCCAGGACAGAGGACCGAGTTTCTCGCCATAGGAAAGTCTCCAGGACAGAGGACCGAGTTTCTCGCCACAGGAAAGTCTTCAGGACAGAGGACCGAGTTTCTCACCACAGGAAAGTCTTCAGGACAGAGTTTGGTGATGGAATGACCATTGATAACTGCTGCATTGTATGTGATATGAGGAACTAACTTGTCGCAGGACAATCCAAAACATTAAACATAAATATAAATGGCCATTCATTGGCAAATTTCTGTGGTATAAGAGGAATAAAATATTTTTGGCAAGTGCTGTTATTAGAAAGGTTGGTAACTGTAACTCTGCTTTGCATCAGGACTCATCACATCACACTGTATTTAAGTACTTTCCTATAACTGCACACCCTGTTGTGTTTTATTTCTTACTCGTTATCTTTACTTGGTGAACTTCTCCACTTTTCAGAAATCTCTGAATATAAATGAATCGATTAGGAGATGCTGCGTACATTTGGAGAAAACTGTATAATTCCTCTTCACAATGGATTAATTTTCACAATTAAGTGAAAAACAATCAGAAACATTTCATGGAAAAATAGGAAAAATAAAAAAGTTACAATTACCTGGTTGCGTAAGTGTGCACACCCTTTATAATTGGGGGTGTGGCTGTGTTCACAATGAACCAATCACATTCAATCTCATGTTCAAAAGTAATTATCATACAGCTGTCATCAATGAAATTATTCTGATTAATCCTAAATAAAGACCAGCTGTTTCTGTAGGATTTTACATCTTGGTTTCATCTGGCTGCTGAAGCCATGGTCTGCAAAGAGCTTACAAAACACAGTATCTCACTTGTCGAAAGGTATCAATCAGGAGAGGGGTATAAAAGAATTTCCAAAACATTTGATATACTATGGAACACTATGAAGGCCATCATCATCAAGTGGAGAAAACAGAGCACCACAGTGACATCACCAAGAAGGGGACGTCCCTCCAAAATTGATAAAAGGACAAGACAAAAACTTACCAGGGATGCTGCCAAGAGACCAACGTCAACATTAAAGATGCTGCAGGAATATCTGACAAGTAGTGATTACTCTCTGCATGTGACAACAATCTCTCATATTCTTCACATGTCTGGGCTATGGGGTAGGGTGGGTGGCGGAAGCTTTTTCTCACAAAAAAAATATCCAAGCTCAACTAAATCACCCTAAACCATGTGGCAAAATGTGTTATGGTCTGATGAGACCAATTCCAAAAGATATAATACTTCCATAATTCCAAAAGGCATGTTTGGCACAAAAAAAGCACATCACCAAAGGAACACCATAGCTACGGTGAAGCATGGTGGTGGCAGCATCATGCTTTAAGGCTGCTTTTCTTCAGCCAGAACTGCAGGATTTATCAAGGTGGATGGAATCATGAATAGCTACAGACACTAGATGAATAGGAATTTCACTTTTCAGCATGCCAATAACCCAAAGCACACATCCAAATCAACAAAGGAATGGCTTAACCAAAAGAAGATCAGTGTTTTGGAATGGCCTAGCCAGAGCCCAGACCTGAATCCAACTACAAATCTGTGGTGTGACCTGAAGTGGGCTGTGCACAGGAGATGCCCTCGCGATTTGACAGATCTAGAATGTTTCTGCAAGAAAGAATGGGAAAATATTGCCAAATCATGATGTGCCAAACTGATAGACTCTTAGCCAAAAAGACTGAGTGGTGTAATAAAATCAAAAGGTGCTTCAACAAAGTATTAGTTTAGGGGTGTGCACACTTATGCAACTAGGTTATTGTAAGTTTTTTAATTTTTTCCTTTTTTCCCCATAAAAATTTCTGATTGTTTTTCACTTTATTTGCATACTTTGCAATTTCACATTAAAGGTGGGAAAAGTTCTGACTTGATTTAACTTACTTCCATTTTTTTACTTCACAAAAACCTGCCATTTTTTTGTGTGTAGACTTTTTATACCCACTGTATGTAGGCTCAGGTTCAAACCTGAGTAAAAAACACCTAAGGAGGTCCCATCAGCCCATATAAAGCAAGTCTAGAATTATTGGCACCCTTCATGAATAATGAGCAAAAATGAATCTAATATGTTTAGCTTAAACATAAGGCATGTGAAGAGTGCAAATTGTATGCACTGTGAAACTACAGTTTCAAAATGATCAACACCTCTACAATTAGTAGTGGGTGATGTGTCCCCTGGAAAGAATAACAGCCACTCTGTAAAGTTTCTAACACAGTTGGAGACGTGTAGCGGGATCTTGACCCTTCTCCAAGCAGAATATTTCAAACTTCTCTTTATTCTTAGGTTTTTTTTTGCCTGTCAAAAATTAAACAGGGTGAAGAGGGTAAATCCAAAAAACCCCTTGTAAAAAAAAAATAAAAAAAAAATTGCAAACTAATAAATCTCAAGGTCCTTTCAGTTTTCTGAAAATGAGCCTAGTGCTCAGAGATTTCATATCCTGATATCTGTCCCTGTCATTACTGAATATAATCTCCAGGGCTGTCTATGTGGCTGTCAGCTGTAACATTAAATTCACAGTGTTTATGTTTTATCTATACCTAATTTTTTTTACTTTTACTGGTTTTATTGCATTCATTTGGTAACTTTAGTAATCCAATGCTGCTGATAGCCTGCTAGCATAAGTGGAGTGTATGAGTGGTGGCCTGGGAAACCATGTACATAGTGAAATACATTACTAAACACTATTATATAAAATACATAATATTTATAGTTCTGAAAACCATAGACTTTCTGTAACTGAAATATATTTCTCTTTTGTGTCTCAACCACATGTAAAAAATTATAGATTTTAAAATCTATTTAGCCCCAAAAGAGAAATCACATTTAAAGATTCAATTCCAACTTTCATTTCACAAACGTCAGTTTGACAGACCTGACATTTGACAGCTAGAATCTGATTACAAACTGTAATGATTAGGCTTATGTTTGTTTTGGCATGTAGGTTATTGTTAATGTTGCTTTATGACAACTGTGTAACATTATGACAGCAGTTTTACCCAGCCTGGAAGCAGAATAGCCTAGGTAAGATTAAAAAAGTTAATAAATAAAAAACACATAGTTCCATTTTGTTTTATGAAATAGTTGTGGTTTCGTAAAGCTGAGGTGTCAAAGTGTGATTTTCAGTCGCCAGGAATCAACCACAGCGACATTCAACAGGTTTTCCCAGACCACCATACACACGTTAGCAGCTCTCATTTACATTTTTAACAGATCGCTAATTTGCGAAACCACTTTATTTGATTTTCTTCACTTTTTCAGTATTATCGTCAGTGATCACTGCTATAAGGGTCATTTCCTGCTAGAATTGCACTGCTGTTGCTTTGGTTGTCACTGCTGTCATTGTTTTGCTTTGGCAAAACTACAGTATGTAAAACCAGTTATCCTAATGAAGCCACTCTGAACAACTGTGGTGGCCATGCTATTCCTTTAAAAATGTCCAGCATTAACCATGTGACCACCCAGCTGCTACTCCACCCTTTTCCCATTGCAGTAGTTAATATAACATGTCTTTTGGGAGATAATGCATGTGCACTTGCTGAGCCCCATGGTTTTCCACCACAGAAGTCTTCTTAACCATCTAATATGCAAATAAGCAAATCTGCGTATTTGAGATTTTTAGTTTTATTTCCTGTACAAGATGCTACACAGCAATTCAGGCATTGCATCTGCCATTTGTTCATAATGTTCTTTCCCATTTGTTTTCTCATAAAAGGAGGCAGGTCTTAATGAATACATTTTTTCTGACATGTAACGACTAAGATCCATCAGAATGAAAGGCAACAAATGGCAAACCAATGTTAGATATGAGAAGGTCTTACAATTGTTTAAAGAATTTGGGAACCTTTTTTTTTTTTAATTTTTGTACATGCTACAGAAAATTTAGGCAGAATATTTGTAAAAATCCACTGGATATTCTGCTTACGAGACAGAAGTTCAGACATTTGCTTGTACAGATTATCATACACACATTTGGCAGCATTTCTGAGACAAATGTCTCTTAATATAATATTAATCAAAAATAATATAACTGATTATATCTTTGACCATGTAATCTGGAATCAGTCCAGGATTATATTTCGTCAATAATCTACTCAACACAGGATCCTGATCAGTGTATACATGGGCTTTTGTTATCTGGAGCAGACTTAAAGTCAAATAATTCAGAGAGCAATAATCTGAATTCCAATTTTGTCCTACGCTAGATTGTTTCTCCAGTGCCAGTAAGGATGTACGTGCTGCGAATGAGCAATTTCCATTCACTCACTATGTTCTAGCCAAAACAGAGAGAATTGGTGTATTTTATCTGATTAACTGAAAACCACACTGAAGCTCTGAAATTGGGTAGTTACAGGGTTCAGCATATACAGAGAATTAATGGCATTACTACCTTTTAGTACTTTCTGTGGTCGATGTTACAATCTTTGTAGTGTTCAATTTTTATAGAATCCTAACGCCAAATACTTAGCACTTTCCTAAGCTTTATGACAAACTCACCAGGTCACTAAGTTGTTTTTAAAATCACAAGGGTCCATTACCAGAAATGTATCCCATCCTAATGTCATTATAACTTCAGGAAACATATTTCGTGATGTTAACTTGTTAAAATTGTTGTACAGCATATAAAGGTGATGCAGACAAGGACTGGGCCTTGGGATAGACGCATCGTCAGAGGTTGGCTGACCATCTTGACTATCATGAATGACCACTAATTGCTAAAGAGCAAGAAAATACATTTATAATCTGTTTAAGCGTCAACTTAAAA